CGTTTAGATTGAATGGTAATTTATAATCAGTCACAAGAACGTCGAATCTGAATCACTTGAAAAAAACACGGGGTGCTTAACTTTTTTCCAGGTGTATATTTCTCCTATGCACGTTTAAATAGTATAAGAGAAATAGCTTCCATTTAGAAAACTATTTCTAGGAGTAGGAGTCTATGTAGTGTATTAAAGACTGAGCCAACATCAAACTCTAATTTTCTCGTACAAATTCGTAAATTTTATGAGTAATTTTAAAGTAATTTCTGTTAGAATAGTAAATAGAATAGACATTGGTGGATCTATTTCCCCGTGAAGCACGGAAATGTGCCGAAAACCAGCTCCAAAGCTAGCGATATTATGACACCTATAACTGGAAAATCCCCTGTAACTATACGTGTAAAATTAAAACTGTTAATTTGAACGTCTTGTCATTGTCTTTGGTGTGAAAGGTGAGTGCCCTAGAAGACTGGAGTTGTAGAACGAGTAACTAATGGTTAAAATAAGATTACTTTAAAGTATTTGTCTCCTACTCGTGAGTGGTATATAATGCATAATATTATTCACTGAATGGTAAAGGTGAGTGACCTAGAGGACTGGAGTTGTAGAACGAGTAACTAATGGTTAAAATAAGATTACTTTAAAGTATTTGTCTCCTACTCGTGAGTGGTATATAATGCATAATATTATTCACTGAATGGTAATCCGACCCATAATTACTCTATTCATAAAGTATGAACTAGAGAGGAACCACAAATAAGAATATTCCTCCAAACAAGAGAATAGTGGTACTTTTCAGGGAATATTTATCTTCTGATTTGTTTTATTACCGAAAATTCCTAGGTGTGATAATTGATTTAAGTTTTTACGTCATGACAGTCAAGGAGCTTTTCAAAATTAAATCTCTTGGACCAATCAGAAGGTGATGACGTCATTGATGACCAATGATGGAACCTGGCAACTACTACTCGGATCTTAGCTGTCAAGGGCAGATTGCTAAAGATACATCTAGAGGTCAGATTACAGTTAATCTGTATAAAGTATGATGCATATTAAGTCATTCTACAGTTCTTATCTAAACTCGCCAAGAAGAGGAAAGGTCAAAGTGCAAGTAAGATAAGGTGCTACAAAAAATCCAAGATCTGCATTTCACTTCGGCTTACTGACTCGAAATAATAAATTCCAGTTTTTCTAATGAAACTGTGACATTCAGTTCAGAAGTACTTGTTGTCTCTGAAGATTTAAGTTAAAAGATGAAAAACAGCAAGATATTGTAGTCTATTTAAGGGAATTTGAAGAACACTTTATTTTCCTATGGGGTTCAGGTTTTTCACTTTCAGGACTAACATAAACCTATACCAAAGTAAGACTCATGTGTGGGGCGATTATATGATATTCTAATTTGTCTTGAAATATATGTAAAAAATGTTTCTCTTACACGACAATAACGGTTTCTCCACATTCCACATACATTCGTCTTACTCATTACATTTTCTTTATATTTTATCTGACGTTTCTCAGCTTTCAGTTTTCGACAGTGATTGGGTAGAACATCCAGTAAACTCATAGAAAGAATATTTCGCTTACCAGTTTAGTTCCATCAGGAAACGTTGCTTCCACCTGAATCTCCGAAATCATCTCCTCTACGCCTGGAAGGACCTGACGACGTCCTTCGAAACAAATGAGAGTAATAAAGCTTAGCAAAGGTGTCATAACATAAAAAAAGCAGTACGAAAAGGGAAATTCCTTATCAAGCCAAGGACAGAGAAGCCGATGAAATAAGGGTGAACGTCAAACTTTTGATTAACAATATTAAGGCTTCTCATTTGGTAAGGCTAGAATTTTGCTTTGCTGAAATTTTAAGAAATTGTTTGACTCGCTAGCTTTCAAGTTCTTACGTTGTTAATTTAGTTTATGTGGAAATACATCAAAGGGTTGAAAACACTACCTAACATGTGTCTCCCTTTATCCATCAAATCAGCGACAGTGTATCCATCCCGAACCAACTCTTGTACCTGTAAAAATAAGATGAAAAACAGTTGCATTATATAATAGTTGCTCTTAACAATCAAACTGCATCTTGGTTTTTTTAGTATTCATACTTATAGTCATAAGTTATCGGAGAATATTATCCCCCCCCCCCCACGCATTAGCTCAGGGCAAGTCTCTGAACTTATAGCGCTAAAAATCAGATTTCGTTATCCGAAATATGCCCAACACAAATAGTCCATTGTGTAGCTTTGTGCTTAACAACAAATAACAACAACAACCTGATATTATTTATCACACTGTTTGGTAACTTTAGTAACCGATTTACAATCAATAAAAATAAAAACGTTAGTTCCAATTAGAGGTTAACAAAGCATGGTACCACTTGCACATGGGGTGATAAAAGTCCACACAAAAAGTGTGGACACTTTTTAGCATGTTCTTTCATAGGTTACAGCCATGATGCAGCATTCACCTTGGATGCAAGTGGCACAAGCATTAATACTATACTTACAAAACACCAGGATATGGAGAAATGGCAGTTGAGACTTATGCTATTAGGTTACTATATTCATTGCTGGAAATCTAAAGTTTCTCAGAAAACACTTGTATGTAAAAACAATAAGAAAAAGAGTTGATCATGCTACCACCAGGTGGCTGATGAATTTGTTTGTTTGTTTTGAAGTTAAGCATAAAGCTACACAATGTGCTATCTATGCTCTGCCCACCACGGCTATCGAAACCCGATTTCTAGCGTTGTAAGTCCGCAGACATACCTCTGTGCCACTGTGGCACTGATTAATTAAAAAAATACTGAAGGAATAATATTTTCATTAATTACAACTGTACATGGCGGTCATCATACAGGAGTGTTATCAGACATTATTACTACTTTGTGAACACTACAGGAGTGTTATCAGACATTATTACTACTTTGTGAACACTTGTCCAGATAAATGAACATTGGAGAGAAAAAGAATGGATATCATTCGCTTTGATGCATTAAGAAAATAGAACCTTTTAGATGACAGAGATAGCATATCCATCAACAATGTCATTTGAAAGATGTATTATGGCAACTGCAAATGAAAAAAAAAAAGATATTAGTCTGAAAACTTTCAAGACTTCGTTCACTTCTCTGGACAGAGAAATTCAAAATGTATATCCTGTTTTTAGTATAGTTGAGGAATGAACAAGAAAACCTGAAAGTTTATGGACTCTACTCCATGCATTTTAAATGCGTAGAAATGTACTCTACAAACACTGGACACATGGTGGGCAGATAAATTCATCGCTACTGCACTTGGTAGTTCCTAAAACATTTTATAAAATATTTTGTAACTCAAAAGAAACACCAAAGCTGAAAATTACCATGGCTTTTCACTTTATTTTATTTAATCTGGTCCCCACTCACTAACTACACAAACTTGATATTAACTGGATTGAAGGTATAACAAACTTACTTCCTCTTAACTTGACCAAAGTTAGAAGTGTTTTACAATAAAAACTGGATTCAAACCAACGTTGGTAGTGTTTTACAGTGAAAACCGAATTCAAACTAGCATTAGAAGTGTTTTACGGGGTAAAAACTGGATTCAAACCAGCGTTGAAAGTGTTTTACGGGGTAAAAACTGAATTCAAGCCAGCGTTGAAAATGTTTTACACTGTAAAAACTGAATTCAAACCAGCGTTGAAAATGTTTTACACTGTACAAACTGAATTCACACCAGCGTTAAAAGTGTTTTACACTGTAAAGACTGAATTCAAACCAGCGTTGAAAGTGTTTTACAGTGTAAAAACTGAATTCAAACTAGCATTAGAAGTGTTTTACGGAGTAAAACTGGATTCAAACCAACGTTGGTAGTGTTTTACAGTGAAAACCGAATTCAAACTAGCATTAGAGGAGTTTTTCGGGGTACAAACTGGATTCAAACCAGCGTTGAAAGTGTTTTACAGTGTAAAAACTGAATTCAAACCAGCGTTGAAAGTGTTTTACACTGTAAAAACTGAATTCAAACCAGCGTTGGAAGTGTTTTACAGGGTGAAAACTGGATTCAAACCAACATTGGAAGGGTTTTACAGGGTGAAATCTGGATTCAAACCAACGTTGGAAGTGTTTTACAATGAAAAATGGACTCAAACTTCATTGTTTAAAGACCAGAAAAAGACTGAAACATATGCTAAAATTTCAAAATCATAGGTAAAGAAAGCGAGAGAAAGAAAATGTGGTTATTTACTTCAGTTGATCACAAAACAAAAATTGCGAAATCACCACCATATATTTCTAAGACTAACAGCCTAGAAAGTTCAACTTCTAAAAAGCTGGAACTAAACAATACAGAAATAGTCTAAGATTGGGGATCAAAAATGAAAATTTCGCAATCTAAAGGCTCTAAAAGCAGAACTGTTAAAACAACTGAAGTCTGGAAGTAGCAAATATATTTTGAAAATAATAAATATATGTAATACAGACGTGTAGAGGGCTAGGTTTGAAAGTGTGTCATCATGAACCTTCTACCATAGGTGAAGGTTTTGACCTAGTTGGTCAAATAAGACGTAGATGGAAACTGCACTTCTCAACAAGTCTTGGTAAGAGCTTTGTCACATAATATGAGCTTATGTTTTCATAGAATAATATCACCAACTAAACAGTGGAGAATGAATGAATGAATATAAAGGTGCTGGTGTGAGGGTGGTTGTGTAAGTAGTGAAGATTATTTCAAATGGCAAATAATTGTGACTTGAAACAATATTTCAATCGAAATAAGTCTTATAGTGCCTTTATCCATCAATATGACGACGCCTAGAATGGCCATAGTTCAAATCAGCCTAAGAACGTTAGTGGTGAATAGGATAGTTGAAGTTAGAAATAACAGCAGGACTACATACCAAGAGGTTGACCAATGTCACCATATCAGGTCTTTGAGGACTGTATAAACCATGCGTATTCTGCGAAACTAACTCATCTAGTAAAGTCATCTAATAAAGGAATAAACAGGCCATTCTTAGGTTTGAGATTATGAATAACTTGTAGTACAATGAATTCTTCAACATCGGGTCTTAAAATCCTCTCACAGAGCAGAAACAGATTCGGAATGTGTACATAACCGATTTTCTGTTTAATAAATTTATTGCAGATAACCCACAGAAGGGTTCTAGATTGAAAATACCAAAATGGGAAAGAATGAAGGGAAAAAAAGAGTGCCAGAAAGGATTGGAATTTAGTGCCTACGTTTTTTTCAGCCATGAATAGGTCAAGTCATAAAGTGGTCTTGTGACAGGATTACAATTCATAAAGTGGTCTTGTGACAGGATTACAAGTCATAAAGTGGTCTTGTGACAGGATTACAAGTCATAAAGTGGTCTTGTGACAGAATTACAAGTCATAAAGTGGTCTTGTAACAGGATTACAAGTCATAAAGTGGTCTTGTGACAGGATTACAAGTCATAAAGTGGTCTTGTGACAGGATTACAACCTTATCAGCATTAAGACTATAATGTGGGAAGTTATTAATCTGAGATGAACTTTTAATCTTACAGTATTACTGATGGAATAATAATTGTCTTTTATCACTGGAAATTTAGATTTGAGAAAATATAACTGTTGGAAAGTTTCGTAAAAGACAAACAAAGGAAGCGAAGTACAGTTGATGAGCGACAGAGTAAAGTATTGTTTGTTTGTTTTGAATTTCGCGTCAAAGCTACACGAGGGCTATCTGCGCTAGCCGTCCCTAATTAGTAGTGTAAGACTAGAGGGAAGGCAGCTAGTCACCACCACC